TATGTATGTATGTATGTATGTATGTATGTATGTATATATGTATGTATGTAAGTATGTATGTAAGTAATGTTAGGAAACAAAACAACCTGGAATCTAGTTAAATGATGATTATTCCAAACATTACTCACCACGCGTTGGTTATTTTCCTCATAATTTACAAGGGGTTCTCCTGCCTTCCTATATATGACGTAAAATGTCGTAACCCACCCGCTCTTTCCATCTCCTTGAGTGGCGATCTGTGTTATGCGTTTCGCGTTTGGTACAAAGCTCACTTGGAACCACTGGTGACCAATAGTTGTGTTTGCAGCCCAGCTTCCTCGCGTGTCGTGCAGTCGGCCCCAACCCAACTTAGCTGTGGAGTGTGTTGACGATGCTGTGAGTTGGTTGTCTGCAATCGAACCGTCTTCCATGCCCAATGGCTTGGAAATACAGGCTGCACAAAAACATTTAAAAAAATGATTAAAATCTTAACGAGGTAATGCAATTTTTTTACGTCTCTAGAAAAGATTTCTGAGCAGTCTTGTCGGCTCGATTACCAGCCGCTGTTCGGGAACAGGAGCCCGCGCTCCTCCCCGGACCCGACAGAGCAGCAGAAATCGAGGCTACAATTATGTCAATTAAATGAAAGGTGGTCTAATTCTTAATTAAAGGATCAAGTTTAAGAAAAAATATTTCTAGTCACCAGGATTCTCCTTATCACCAACATCATCCAGATCACAAAAGACTAGATTCGCGGGGCGTTCAAGTATCTACTGTAAGGTTACGCATTCATTTTATTTACTTTTAGACGAAGACTCACATTGACTATGACAAGCGGCAACATTTCCGTCACATGCACACCGTGTCGCTAAGGATCCAGGGATTGGAACACATTTTCCGACAGAACATGGCGGATGTCGATCGACACACGGAGTATAGTCACGTGACAAGCTATCACTGTAGACTGCTCCAGGTGTCACTCTCAGATCATTGGCGTACCACTTCGCCGTTTTATTGTTTAACTCGCACTTCTTCAATGAGATGTAATAGTTAATACTGAAACAACTGTTGGTGCTGTCACAAGCAGCTACACAGCTCTCGAACCGCTTTCCTACCGATGATGAAATGACGTGACCTTTTAGGGCGTGATCAGCTACTGTTCTTGTCGTACGACAGGGAAGTTGCCCAGCAGGTTTTCCCCATGAAGACATACTCAGAAACAAACAAACGACAGTTTTGTAGAGTAACATAAATGGTGATTCAAGATTATCT